TACCTAAAGAGTTTGTCATCGCATACTGACCAATGAGGCCCTAAACACTTGAAGGGTCAGGTAAGCCCTCAATAAAAGGACCATGGTAAGTGGGTTGAATTTATTGAACAATTTCATATGTGATTAAATACAAGCATGGAAAAGACAATGGTTTGATGTCTTGATGCAGTTATACAAGAAAGATATACTCTAATTACTGCTCTTAGTTTCTAAATTGCTTGAGACTTTGAGTAAGTTAAGGACTTATATGTGAATGATTCAGATCTTTGGCAACGATATATTAGCCTTGTGGAGGATCATGGAAGCATTTTGAATAGTTCTATAGACATGATGGATAATTTGTTTAAGAACAACAAACTTTGTGTGCCTAAAGTGTTCTATGCGTGAATTGCTTGTGGCTTGAATCTCATAGTGGGGGATTGATGGGACAGCTTTTGGGGTACATAAGAGCTATATATGATTGAATGAACACTTTTATTGGCCTCATTATGAATTAAATGATGTAGAAAGAGTTGTAACTCTTGTATTGCATGGTAAACAGGCCAATCTAAGTCTTATGCCTCATGGGATTTACATGCCTTTACCTGTTCCTAGTTCTCCTTGGATTGAATATATTCTATTGGACTTTGTACTTGGATAACCTAGGACTAAACGTGGTAGAGATAGGCATATTTGTTGTTGTTGATAGATTTAGCGAAGAATGGCTCATTTTATTCTTGTCATAAAACTGATGATGCAAACAATTTGCTGAATTATTCTTAAAGAACGTGGTAGATTGCAATGGGGTACCAAGAACTTATAGTTCTGGATAGGGGATGCAGGTTCCTTTTCACAGCTTTTTTGGAGAGTTTTGTGGAAGTAAGCTTGGACTAATTGCTTTATTCTACGACTTGGGCATCGCACAACAGATGGACAAACTGAAAGTTGTGAATATTAACTTTAGGGACATTACTTCGATGCCCATTGTGGGTAACGGAACTTGAAAACTTGGGAAGATTGTTTGCCATTCTTTGGAGTTGCATTAATCGGTAGCAATACATTCTACTGCAGGTTATAGCCCATTTGAAACTTGTTTTTATGGCTTAATCCACTAACTGTATAGATTCTTGTTCCTTTACCTTAATGAAACTTCTTGATCTAGATGGGTGCGAAAAAGGCAGAATTGGTGAGTTTTTACATGAGAAGGCTAGAGCCAACATAGAAAAGAGGACAAGCAATATCTAATCAAGCCAACAAGGGCAGAAAAGGAAAGTTAGTGCTTATGCCAGGTGATTGGGTTTTGGGTACACTTTTCGCAAGGAAAGATGTTTCCCAACCAAAGGAAGAATAAGCTTAAGATGCAAGCGTGGGAGATGGTCCCATTTCCAAGGTCCCTTAGAGCGCATAATGACAATGCCTACAAAATAGACTTACCAGGTGAGTATGTGTTTTCTGCAACTTTTAATATAGTGATTGTCTCCCTTTTTGACATGGATGCAGATTTTGAGGACAAAATCTTTTTTAAAGAAGGGGAGGATGATACGGATCCACTATGCCACCACCTATGAAGCTCAAGGGAACAGGACCAGCAACAATGGCAATCCATAGCACTCCTAGTGGACAATTACAAGGACCGTGTAGAAGAAGTATGGAGCCAACCATGTCCTTATACATTCAAGACAAATCACACAGAGCCTCCATGACCTTGCTTTCAACAAGTGCTATGAAGAACTTGGAGGAACACCTAAAAGTTTTCACATTATAAGAAAGCACAAGTTTTGAGTGGGAAACCATGTTTGGATAGCACCCCGTGCAAGGTGGCACACACCAGGCCGTGCAAGCTCCTGCTTTCAAGGACAACACATGACCTCGGAGGCACGCCCGTGCCATTTCAGCAGCCCAAAGCCACCGTGCACTTACTGACTCCTCGCGAAGGAAACTCCTCCATGCGCGCCGCCCGTGCAGCTGACACGCCCCAGGCCGTGCACTTCTCTGCCTCTCGCGAAGAAGGTCACACATTGCGCGCACGCCGTGCGCCTTGGCCGCCCTAGACGTGCACTAGCCTGCCTCTCATTAACATAGTTTAGGTTATTTTGAGTTCTTTGCTTTTGTAAAATGGGTTGGCCTCCTATATTAGACCCCCATGATATTTTTAGCCTTGGTTTGTTAGGATTTATTTAACTTTAGTGGATTTGGATTAGATCTCCAAATCCCTTAAGTTGTTATGATTTGTTAGTCAACTTCCTTAGTTGGGTTTAAGATTTGGCTAAATCCTCTCCTTAGCTAACTCTAAATCCTCTAGGGATCTGGACTCTAGATTAGTATAATATTAGCTTGTTATTTTTTATTATTAGGTAATTTTTCAATCATTAAAAGAGATTTCTTCTTCGCATCCTTTGCCGTGTTCAGTGTTTTTAGAGAGTGTGAGATTGCATTCTTCTAATTGCAGTCAAGAATCAAAGTTAAACTTATCATCTAATTGTGCGGTTATCTTATTCTTTTTCTCTATTATTGGTGTTCTTGCTTCTTAAGCTTTGGGGTGCCATAGAGAGGGGTTTAGTTTGATGCTTGGTCTCTTCCAAAACTTGAAATTTATTTTCATTGGGTTCCGCGTCAACGACTCTAAAATAAAACTCTTATAAAAGTAAAAGACTTTTAATCCGAGGATCAATAAATGAATCTAATAACGAAAACCATTTTTTTGAAATAAAATCAACTAAGACCGTTAAATTTTGCTTTTGCGAAAATAATAACATCTTCACATATCATCAATTTCAAATTCTAATATGTTGCCATATAAGCATTTATGTCTTATAAATTATATATTTATATAGATAGATAGATATATCTTTTATAATTTTTTATTTGACTTATTTTTTTATAAATATTTATTATTTTTATATGTATAATAAAAAATAACGTTTATTATAATGTACAATAATAAAGTAATAAAACAATACGACCGTCCACGTAGTTTAAAGTTTAAACCTCTCACAATTCATTTAAAATAAAATATAAATAAGCTGACTCAAGAAAAAAAAAAAGCATTATCCAAGTCTTATATTTTGAATTAAGAACTCCTCTCAAACCAACTAGTATAACAACATCTTTAATAGGCAACTTGTTATAATTTGCTTTTTGAAGAAGTAAAACTCTATTAAGGGTAACGTGAATTTTACACCACTTTACTTTACCCTAGCAAGCACCCTATGATACTACTTTTGTTTGTGAGAGAATGTGATGGTATCCTATAATATACTAGGCATGGCCATCGGTTCATTTTGAACCGGAATAGAACTGTAACGTAGATGATCGAGAACCAAACTGAAATTGTCAATTCAAAATTTTGAACCGAAACAGGAGGTTTAAAGGCCGGTTAATATTCATGTGAATGTTAAAATCTGAACTTGAACCGGTGGTTAACTGAAGGTTTCGGTCCGGTTAAACCGAAAATTTTCTATTTTTATTTTCAAAATAATAATTACTTAGCCTATTTTATACATCTCTAAAAGTCTCAATAATATTTTACTACATGATATATTTACTACATGATATACTTTACTTAATATTTTTTTTTTAAATACACTTTACTTTAAAAGTTAAAAATCTAAAAAGTAAAATCGTAAAAAAAGAAAGAAATATTTAGCATAAACTTATATTGTTTTTAACTTTTTTTTTTAACCTTTTAAATTGTTTACTAAGTTTAAAATTACATTCTTTTTCAGCATTTTTCAAAATTTTCTTATAATTTATTTAATTAATAACATTTAAACAAAATAAAATGATAATTAATTAATTAATTTTATTCTTATATGAGTATGAGCATTCTAAAATTTATTTTACATAAAATTTACCAATATTTTTTACACTCATATATTAATATTTTCGAAGGAAATATATAACATTAGAATCGATTTTTTTTTTTAAAAAATACATATATCGCCGAAAACTGTGATCAGAATCACTGGTTCTCTGAAACCGCATCGAAACTAGCCAGAACCAAAATCGGACCAAAATCAACAGTTTAGAGTTAATTCAGGTTGAACATTTTAAAAATTTTGAAGCCTGACACGTCCATACTATACATGCAAAGGACAGAGTAATAAAACGTTGAAAACAAGATGAAGTTGAAATGAGCGATCCACTTAGCATCTTATTTATTATCGTGTTTGGCCAGATTCCCGTCATTGTCAGCGCCCTATTAATTATTAAATTGATCGCTTACCAAAATGCCGTAAAGAAAGCTGAGCTTTCTGGCTTTTCACGTCCTCTGATCAGGTCAATGTTTGGTGCTCGTCAGTCTGAGACAATGGAACTGGAGGAAAATAACAACAGAAACAGGAGGCCAGTGGAATTCCTTATCAAAAAAGCATACAGTCCTCCTTCATGGGCCTCTCATCTCAATCATATACCATCTCATTATTTCTCTCTGGCTCATCTTCCTACTCCTATTCATCTCTGGAATCTTCCTAATCTACCCGATGGAACTGAGCTTTGGTTGAAAGTGAGTATTTAATTTCAAGTTTGTAGTTTCCACTGTAGCCTTTTGTTTTGATAGAGTTTATGTTGATTATAATTATCCATTTAAGCGCGATGATCTCTCGGGCTTGCAATTGAGTGGCAACAAAGCGAGAAAGTTGGAATTCTTGATGGCAGATGCAGTGGCTAATGGCGCTGATTCTGTAATAACTATTGGAGGCATTCAGAGCAACCACTGTCGTGCCACTGCCGTTGCTGCTAAGTACCTTAATCTTGATTGTTGCTGCAAGTATTAACTGATTGTTATCTAACTCCTTTCACCTCCAAGGTCCACAAACTTCTTTTCCTATCCTTTGGGTATGTATTTTTAGTTGAGATTTTCTTATTTTTGTTATTTTTCTTGTATGTGTTGCAGGTTCTCTGTGGATCAAATCAGGATTGGCCGTCCATCTCTTGGTCGACCGTCCTGATGGAGCTCATATTCAACTCATTCTCGGAAGAAGAATTTTACACAATTGGGCGTAGTGGTTTGTCATTGCTTCTTCATACAAATTAATTCTTCTTAATGCATGCCTCATATTTTGTAATTGTAATTTTGTTGTTTTTCTTTGCCTCCTTTACAGTTACTTTTGAATCTTAAGTATCTTAAGAATGACAACGACTTTGTACCCTGTTTGGTATTCTGCTTGTTTGCGTTCTGTTTTTTTCAACTTCTACCTCTAAACTTTCCTTTTCACTCGTACCCTTAGTAACTCCTTCCGTCCTTCTTCCGCCCTTTTTATTAATCTTTTTTTTTTTTTCACGTAATTCTCTTTCTCCTTTTTCTTAATGCGCCACTGGATCTCCAACCAGCCAAACTAAAACACAAAGAATTGGCTTGCAAAACCTCCTTCCGCCTCATTCTTCCTCTTTTTTAGTAAATCTTTTTCTCCCTTTCGTTATGCGCATCCTGGATCCTCTTACTCTCTGGATTTCTTTTCTTTTGTTTTTTTTCGGATGCTTTGGCTGATTTTGTGCCTATTTTCAAGAAAGAATTCTTACTGCCCGAATCATCATTTCTAGCTTTTGTGATTAGTATATCTGCTCATGGTTCAAGCCTTTTTAACATCTTCAGTTCTTTTTGAACCTCAACCAATGCTTGAACCGTCGGTTTTGGTTCCGGTTTCCCGGTTCGGCCATTTCCTGAATCATGATTTCCGGGCGGATGTATGTTTTTTTTTTAAAAAAAAAAAAATCGGTTCTAATGTTGATTTTTTTTTTTTAAAAATATTAATATGAGTTTAATACAAATATTGATAAATTTTTATTTTAAATAATTTTAGAACGCTCATACTCATATAAGAATAAAATTAATTTAATTTTACAAAATAAATTAAATAAATTATCACTTTATTATTAAATATTATTAAATTAAATAAAATTAAATAAAGAAATATTTGAATAAATCCTGAAAGAAAATTATAATTTTAATACTTAAGTAAACAATTTTAAAAGGGTATAAAAAAGGTTACGAAACAATATAGAGTTTGATTAAAATATTTTTCTCTTTTTTTTAAGCCATTTTAACTTTTTAAGATTTTTACTTTTAAAGTTAAAGTGTTATTTTAGAAAAAAAATCTTAAGTAAAGTATATAATTAGTAAATTAATTATTGAGACTGTTTAAAAATGTATATAAATATGGAAGTGATTAATCATTTTGGGAAAATAAAAATAGACAAATTCTTCGGTTGAATCAGACCGGAACCGCTGGTTCAAGGGGCCAGATTCAAAGTGGTAGATTTTAAAACAATTCTCAATAAATCCAACCGGCCCTTAAACGTTGGTTCCGGTCAAAAATTTTCAAACGACCAAGTATTTAAATTCGATTTTCGTTCATCTAACAGTACAGTTTTCGGTTCCGATGTCAAAATGAACCTGTTAGCCATACATAAATTAATACTTGGCAATTTTAAAGTTGTTCTAAAACGCTTATGAATGTAATTTATTATCTTTTTATAGAATAAGTTGTTTTTTGTCCTTTTACATCTTCCGTACTCTGAGAGTCTAAACTTCAGGCGTGCACCGACACCTACATTACCATTTCCTTGCAGCACCTATACTAAATATCATAAGATATTTTTCTAGTTATTCCATTGCGATTTAGTCAAGAAAGCAAATTGTTGTAAAAATAGTGAGATATTTTACACCTAGATGTTCTCTATCTAATATGTTGGTGTGTAGAGAAGAGAAAATCTTTCTTACATTTTATAAAAGAAGGAATCTTGCTGTAAAATATTCTTATCTTGTTTGCATGCAGAACAATGTATAGTTTTTGATAATAATCGGTACCATTTGACCTCTGGAGTTTCTCTACCATTTTATTTAAAACCGAGCGCAAAAAATTTCAGGTTGTGAACTTAAATTAAATTAAATTTTAATTTCAACAAATAGCTACTCATCCTTATGTTTTTAAACGCTGTCCAATGACGGTGGCTTACTTACAGGCGTAACGTCAAAATGTTTTAGATATTATTTAATATAGATTGCACACTAGGTTTTTTTTTTTTGCTCTTTATCAAATTTTGGTAATATGATCCTCTTATTAATATAAATTGAAAGAAAAGTTTGCTAAGGAAGGGAAGCAAGCGCATATGTTTATTTCCCGGCGCGGCGGATGGATCAAACACCAGTAGGAACAATTGGTGAGCATAATTTAGGTGGATAATAATAGTCCTATGCCGTTCTTTGACATCTTTATTTTGAGTTCGCAGCTATGTTTTTGACATCTTAAAAGAATTATATTTTGCTAGTCTTTTATACAAATGTGTATCAGTCTGAATAAATATGGAAGTGAATAATTGGACTATGTGTTCAAGATGGTTAACGCGAATTTTATTTTTCTTGAATAGATGTCATTAAAAAAAAATTTCATGAATTTTCCCATGAAGGCGCTTAAATTTTTCTTTTTCTGATACCATTCGTACATATAAACTAAAATTTAGGTTTAATCATTATATAAAGGATGTTTAAAATCATTTATCAAAAGTCTGTCATGGCATCTGTGTTGCAAGATTATGATCGCTTAACATGCAAGTTTTCTTTTGCTTTCGAATAATTGTCTTGAGTATTGGTGGTACTTTACCCATGGAAAAAATATTCATCGAATATAATTTATTATGAATTTTACTGCAGCGTAAGACTTTAAATGGATATAGAAGGGGAAAACATATGTAATTTTCTTTTAAATAGGTTCTTTTTTTTAGTTTCCGAACTCTATGCGGTAACTGCTTTTTTCATTCAGACTTCATTATTACAAAATTAATGAATTACACTACAATTCATGATCTAAGTGGTGTGTCCAAATGAGACTATTGGATCAATTTTGCTCAACTCGTCTAAGTTTGGTTAATTCGGAGTTATATTTGGTTGATGAATCAGCAGATTGGATTTTGGGTTTAGAAGATAAATTTGGGACTTATCGAATGATGGATTATGGTTCGGGATTAAAACTTAATCTTAAGCCTATTAACAAAATTGATTGAATTAGAAACAAATATGGGCGTATGATTGACTGTAAATGTGGTTGATGAGAGCAAATGGAACTAGAATTAGACCATAAAATCTCTTTGGTCTCGTTTATGTATGTCTGTTTCCTCCTTCTTTATAGGATCATCTGTAGATTTTTTCAGCATGGATTAAGTTCTCTTTTTTTTTTTTTTTTTTTTTTTTTTTTTTTTTTTTGTTAAGATTTTTTTTTTTTTTTTTTTTTTTTTTTTTTTTTTTTGTTTAAGAAAAAAAATTGTTGTGTTCTCTTCCTCACTGTACTAATAATACAGTTTTATGTTTGAATTCCAAGCAGGGGTTATATTGAAGCAATCAAGGAAATTGAGCAGCAAGTTCTTGCTAGTAATGAGAGATTAAAATTTGATGATATTGTTGTAGCATGTGGCAGGTTCTTCTCTAATCTCCGTTCCTTTTAGATTTTTATAGCAAACCCTAATTTTTTGAAAAAAAATATTTTTCCTCCCTACTTGTCTCATATCAAGTTTGATCTGTTCCAGTTTTGGTATAACAGTTCAATATTATTATAACAGATGGACATTCCTTTCGCATAAACTTTGTTGATATCCAATTCATGTATGAGTCCTCAGTGTATGCTGAGCTTTGCACTTAAATTACACGTGTTTAGCATTGACAGTCAGTTATCTGATAACAAACATGGCACTCAGGCACTAGAATGTTTAGTGCACAACTATAATCCAGAAAGCAAAAACTAATCTTATGAGTTGCTTGTGAACATAAGATGGAAATTTTTTGTGTTTTGATTTACAGTGGAGGTACAGTTGCTGGTCTGTCGCTGGGATCATGGTTGGGTACTTTGAAGGCAAAAGTATGTCTTCCTTTTTTCCGATTCTCTCAGTCAGTCTCTTACTTTTCAATTTGACTCTTCTTGCATTTTCCTATTTGTAGGTTCATGCGTTCTCTATTTATGATGAGCCTGATTACTTTTACAACTTTGTTCAAGAACTACTCGATGGATTCGGAGCAGGTGTTAACTCACATGAAATTGTGAACATTCAAGATGTGAGTGCTTTATCATATGAAATACTAGTGAATGCATTCCTTTTTTTTATTTATTATTATTATTCCCCTCTTGGCTACGTAAATTGTATGTCAAAAAATACGATAATGTCGGTGTAAGTGCAAATACATTTAGATGCTGCAACTAGAAAAGGAAAATATCCAAAGATAACATCATCAAGCAGATAAAGATATCTATGGAAGCGCTCTTCGCCTTCCACTCTTAAAAAATAAAAAGAATAATCATCAAGTCAATTTCAGTTTTTGATACGTGTAAAACTATCGTGCTGATCTCACACTTTTCATTACAAGTTCTAGGTGGTGTTCATTTGTGGAAAACTCTTTTGTTTTCCATTTTCCATGGAAATGGAAAAGAGAATTAGAGAAAATGGAGATTAGATTCATTTATAATAATCGGAAAATTATTTCCTAATTTGACAAAAAGAAAAAATGTGTTTTTTTTATATATTTTCTATATGGTTTATTGTTTATATTTTTTTATATTATTTATTTTTTATCTTAAATTTTTAATTTTAATTTTTCAAATGTTATACTCTCTCCATTTCATATATATACGGCTGATTTTGACTTTGATGGTCCAGTTGTCAAAATAATCATATGTTATTAATCACATATGGTTAGAATGGTAATTAACCTATTTCAAAATTTTAATTTTTTTAACCTATTTTGTCCTCCTCAAAAATATTGTTAGAGTGATCAATTTAATTGTTATTTCATTTTGTTAAATTTAATATTGTTTTGGTCAATTTAACTGCATTGTCCAATAATCATATTCTTTCCCTCTTACAGGCCAAAGGTCTAGGATATGCAAAGAACACCTCTGACGAGCTTAAGTTTGTCCAGGAAGTTGCTACAGCTACTGGCATTATTCTAGATCCAGTTTACAGGTACAGTAACAAATTCTACCGCAATTCCCAAGTTCTCATGCATGACATTTTTTTAAATCTATTCTGTGATAGCTAGTCAATTGAGACGGTGAATAATCGGTCGTCTCCACAATGTGTGGAATTAGAATAGTTTCTTCCATAGTTAAAAGGGCTGATGTCATCAAATTTAGTCTGGAAAACAAGCATGATTAAAATCTGAAATCTGGGAGTAGGAGTCAACAACTAGACATTTTAATTTCTTGATCTTAAAATTTGAAAATCGTTGAGTTAACAGTTCAATGATGTGATTCTTTTTAGCGGGAAAGCTGCTTATGGAATGATGAAAGACATGGCAGAGAATCCAAGAAAGTGGGAGGGCAGAAAGATTCTCTTCATACACACAATTTCTTGATCTTAAAATTTGAAAATCGTCGAGTTAACAGTTCAATGGTGTGATTCTTTTTAGCGGGAAAGCTGCTTATATATGGAATGATGAAAGACATGGCAGAGAATCCAAGAAAGTGGGAGGGTAGAAAGATTCTCTTCATACACACTGGTGGATTCCTTGGACTTTATGACAAGGTCAACCAGATGTCGTCATTGGTAGAACATTGTGTGCGAATGCATATTGATGAATCTGTTTGAAGGAAAGATGATACTGCAAAAATGTTTTAGAGAAACATTATGGTTGGAACCATTAGGGGGGGAAAAAAGAGGAACATAAATTAAGATGATAATATTTAACTTTCTTAAAGGTGAAAATATATATTGGTTCTTAAATAATAATAAAATTAAGATAGGAGAGCCTTTATGTTAATAACTCATTTTGAGATTCTTAAATTATGATTTTATTAACATTTTTATTATTGCATTCAAATTAAGATACGAGAGCTTTTTTTTAGATGTTAATTGATCGAGAAAAGATGAAATAGACCTGTATAAAAAGAATTTGAAAATTGAAAGATGTAAATCGATCTTTACATTATAGCAAATTATTTATTTTATTACCATCTTGGGCATATATAAATTCATAAAAGCCCATATATTATAATATTAGCTTGCTAGATCTATATGTGCCACATTTTTTTTTCTAACTTAAAAATATATATTTTTATTTTGAGAATTTAATGATTAAGAAAGAGAGAAAAGGATAAAAATCCTTAAATTTCTAAATCCTCAAAATCGAATTCTTGAGCAATGAGTAAGTTCCTGAAGAGGACAATTGACAAAAGAGAAGAAGATAATAAGTTCCAACGATCGTTATTCGAACTCTTCAATAGCTTGAAGTCATAGTGCCTCTCATGCTTAATACGATTATGAAGGAGATTTAGTTGAGGAAGAAGAGGAGAAGAAGGAAAGAGCATTTGTGGCTTGTTTATTGAAATGGACAATGAGTTTTGTTTAGCGAAAGTGGTAGTGCCCCAAGACAAATCTTATGCGGTGAACCAGGACAAATTTTATGGGTAAGCAGAACAAGTAGACAATAGGAGATGGCAATGGCGATAGAAGGTTTTTGGTGTGCTGATTTCGTTTTGTAGGAGGATTGTGTTTCTCCTTCTACTTTTACTAGTACTAGTTCAAATTTGCATAATAATAACGAATCTGGTTCAATCAATAGAAGTTCAAGCCATTCAAGTTCTTTTTTTTTTTTTTTTTTTTTTTTTTCAATCAATAGAAGTTCAAGTCATTCAAGTTTTTTTTTTTTTTTTTTTTTTTTTTTAATACATGTGTAAGTAAAAGAAGAGGAAGATTGGATTTGAAAAAAAAAAATGGAACTAATGGTTGTGATTGTACTCAAAAAAATTTTTTTTTCCTTCCCTTTTCTTTTTAAATTTTAAATCAATATAATATACGATAATTATATTTCTAGAGCTAAATGTTACGCCCCGCACAAGCAGGACAGACATAATTGCAAGGAAGCCCCTACAATTTATAAACAAGGCTTCCCTTTTCTTCAATTAACGGCTGTTTTCGCACCGCCCCGAGCGACCCGAAAAACGCGCCTTTTAGTTTTTGATTGGAAAAGTGATTTTTATTATCGAGTAATGGTGACAAAATCTTTTAAGTATGATGCCGATAAATCGGTCTTATAAAATATTTGAATCGCCACCTTTCGGCAATGGGATCGTTTCCAATTTTATTTTATAAAAATGACTCCATTTTAAACCCAATTCTATTTAAGGCCATATTATAAAAAGACTGGAAACTGGTCAGGCGCACCATGTGCGATTCTATGTAAGGGAATTGGATACGTCGGCCCGTTGGAAGTCGACGCCCGGAAAACCGGCCTCTTTTTAACCTGCAATTTCTAATTTATTTTAATTTAGAAAAGCCAATTTATTTAATTAAACCCAACCCGAATAAATCGACCGAGTTCCTATGTGGAAAATCATTTAATTGTCCCAAATAGATCCATTCATTACATTCATAACCATTCATAATCACATCCATCATCCACCCATAGCAAAAATAATTAAAAGACCCGCTCTTGCCTTATGGTTAAAGGCGGGCCACTGTAACAGACTGATTTTTTTTTAGTGTCGGTAATAGTGATTTACCGGTCTGTGAATAGTACCATCGGTCCGGAACTTGGTATTATTTTAGTCCGGAAAAATCCTACGAAAAGATTACGAATAGTCTAGTCGTATGCCAACGCATTTCATGCGCGTGTTGCCCATTTCCCATGAATATGGGACCACTTCCCTTGCGTATGACTCAAGTTGTTGATATGTTTCCACGCGCTTTTCTTTCTTTCAAATTATATATATATTCCTTTCAAACAAAAATTTTATATATATAATCGATATTGTATATAAATACGAGAATTGAGGAATAATTGAATATCAAATTCCAGATCCGTCAAACGTATATTTTAGATCCGTTAATTAAAAATAATATATTAAAAATAAAGTGAAATCGCGAATATGAACAGATCCGTCATGTAGCCTCCGGATCCGTTACGGATCCGATAGCTGCGTGCGCAACTAGTCTAGGTAAAGAAACGGTATTTTGGACATGAACAGTTCCGTCATGCAACTGCCAATTCCGTTACGGATCTACTGGCCTACTGGCTGCGTGACGCGACTGCTCTGGTCCGTGCTTACTTTTTAAACAACCTTTTTTATGTTTTTCTTTTATCTAAACATGCTCTAATAAAATCCAAAAACGATCAAGAGTGGACACAGAATACCGTTTAACTAAGATTACACTACCAAAACAACAATAAAATAAATAACAATGAATAAACAACTAAAAATACCAAGAAAAGTTTTAGGGAATTACCTAACCCTGAGATTGAGGATCGTTAACAACTTGAACGCCTTAAGGAACGAAGGTTCAGGGATTCCAGAGGCTTTTGTTCACAAGGATTTAACACACACACTTTTCTCTCTTCTTTTCTTTGCTTTTTTTATGATTTTCGTTTTTAATCTATTTGATGTCTAAAAGTTGTTTTTCTTCAAGAGAACTCAGAAGAGTTTTTGCAGAAAAACCTAGTTGCAAGTGTATGTTTTAACGCCCTAAAATTCTTGTCCCGAATAAGAGAAAAACGCTGTATATATAGAGGTAGGGCAACAGGGGATAGCTGCGTCACGCAACTATAGCTGCGTGATGGACCCGATAGCTGCGTGACGCAGCTCACTTTCTGGACCGTTGCCACGTAATCAAACAGAATGAAAAACAGTTATGTCGGCCCGTTATTCGGCTTTCACGGTGATTGTCATTCTTAGATTGGAGCTGCGTGACGCAACTCGACAGTGCGTCACGCACCTGAATAGCTGTGTGACTCAACTCTTATGCAATTCCAGCCAATACATTTATAATTGGTCTAAATTAAATCTGGATTAAAAAACTTTTGGAACCCGCTGGACCCTTCATCTGCGTCCTTGTATCATCACCAGGTTAGCGTGGGGGTATAAAGACAACGCGTCAACAAGTTGCCCCGCGCCACTTTATCATTAATTAATAAGTTAGACGATTATGTTCTAAAGTGGCCCTTGACGCACCTTCAACCTTTGGATTGAATGAAACGTGTTGTTCCTGATCATCTGGTCACGTTCAAAGCTCAGTCTGATCGGCTTTTGTTGGCTCCAGTCAGATCGGTAACGATCTCCAAAAAACTCGGTCTGAAGTTGGTTTGGGGAGATTACCTTTAAGGCTGGTCTGATTGGCTCGAAGGAAATTTGGATTTGGTTGCCGCTGAATACTTTGTAAACCACCATCAATTAACTAAGAAAAAAAGGAATCCAAACGAACTTCGTAATAACCATAACTGCTTGGTGGACCAAAACGGCTTTCGAGAGAAACCATCACCGATTGGTATTGAGATTGCCTTGATCAGGCTTCGCAATACACCATCACTAATCAGGAAAAGGATTGACGTCGATCAGCCTTCGCAATACACCATCATAAATGAGAAAAAGATCCGAAACAGCTTCGTAATAGCACCATCATGCTCGGTGGGGCCCAAATCGGCTTCGTGAAATCATCACCGGTTGACTGAAAATATTGTTTTTTAAAAAACAAAGGAAAAGAACAATTTTCTCTGTGTACAAACACAAACAGATCTTGCCTTTGTTAGATGTTGGAGCATCACATGCCCCCATGCATTAATAATCATAAACTTTGAAATTTGAAATTTTGCATCAGGGCAAAGGGTAATTTCTGTATACAAATAGATCTCGCTTTGTGGGTCCAAAGGGCAATTTTTGTATATAAACAGATCTCGCTTTGTGCAATTTCTGTATACAAACAGATTTTGCTTGGTGCAATTTCTGTGTACAAACAGATTTTTTTTCTTAGTGCAATTTCTGTATACAAACAGATTTTTTGGTGCAATACAAACAGATTTTTTGGTGCAATTTCTGTATACAAACAGATTTTGCTTTGTCCAAAGCTCGATTTAATCGGCTTTAGAGGATTTGAAATTTGAAATTTTGCATCAGGGCAAAAGATTTTATTTTTGCCCCCAGTCCGGAATCCATCCCAAGACCAAAAATATTATATCCAAGACCAAAAAGAATATTATCACCAAAAATATTATCTTTTAAGCAAACCTTGAAAATTTTAATTTTTATCCATTGCAAAAATTTTGAAATTTTAGCAAAAATTTTGCTAAATTTTTCTAGTCCCCAAGTTTTCAAGTATACCCTTCCTGATGTGGTGTTTAAAGAAAAACTTACCTGAGGGTATTTGATGATTTTGATGAGCTTGCCCCCTGTGTGGCGAGTAGATAGAATTTATTTGCAGTATACGAGCCGCACATCAACTCCAAATTGCCTGAATAAGCCGACTTGGGCTTTGATGGATTCTTGACGGACTTGGGCGCTTTATTCGGATGCCAAATGCCCATCTGTTGTGTCTCTGGATGCTTTCGCCGCTATTTTTCTATTTGATTCCTATTTTCTGCACTTAGAGGCAGCAAAAGACAACAAATCTTTTCTTTCGAAATTATTTGCTTGATTAGCATTTAGGCTTCCTGCCCTTGGATTAAGAAATGAAAGCATATTGTGTAAACTCTTTTTTTTTTTTTTTTTAACTAAGAATGTTTTTTTTAACTAAGATGGGAAACCTTACATTATTGACGAAACAATGGGGTGATTCATTTTATGCACCTGCAGATATCAGACAAGATAAAAATATGCAACTTCCTCATGTATGCATGAACCTATTTAAGTGCTAAGGTTTTTATTCATGGTTTTTTCTCTATCGATCCTTTCAAGGAAACCACCGAGAAAATAGCATTTGACCTCTTGATCGCCGTCTGAAAGAATCCAACACTTAGGCAGGACCAACAACCAAACATCTTCAAAACAAATGAGCAAATGCTGACAATATAGGTAGAGAGGAAGGTCTTGTAGTCAACAATCATACCCCAGAAACAAAAGGGAAGGAAAAATCTGAAAATGGAGCTCTTTATTGACCTTACTTCTTTTAACATCATACAGAAGTAAGGAGAAATACAGAAGTAAAGAGAAATTATTTTAATACAATGGTCATTCATTCTAACTACTCATTCACCTATTCTCCTTCTAGTCAGGTTGATGGCATTGAGCAATCAGTCGCAAGTTTGTCACGAATGCATGGCATAGATTTTGCATTTGAACTAAGCACCATGCATTAATCTCAAAAAATTTTTATTTTATTTTTTTACACTCTAACTTTTGCCTAGGCCGCCTTTTATGGGTTTTCAACCTAGCGAGCTTATTTCTTACCTAGGTCGCCCTTTCAGGTTTTCAACCTAGCCCTCTTTTTTTTTTTTTTTTTTTTTTTTTTTTTTTTTTTTTAATTCGTTTTAATCGAAATCATCATTTCAGACATAGAACCTTTTCATTTGGTCTTGATTAATGATCCGATTAAAAGGCTTCCCTTCTGTAGTGACCAATTCAGCAGCACCTTTGGCCAATAACTTCTGAATTCTGAACGGTCCATGTCAGTTGGGTCTGAATTTCCCTCTAGGATAACTCTGGGATTCGTGGTCCAACATTCTGACCAGCATTAAATCTCCATTTTTCAAAGCCCTTGGATGTACCCGCTTATTGTAGAACGAGCAATCCTTCTCTTTCTCATCTGATCCTGGAATCTGGCATTCAATCTAATCTTTCTGCCTATCCGTAAAAAGCGCCAGATCTCTCATACCTTTTCTTGACCAATTCTCTTCGTCAGACAGCTTCCACAAGAAACCCTTGAGAGAACTCTTTTCAAGCTCTACTGGTAACACTGCCTCCATCCCATACTAAAGCTTAAAGAGAAATGCTCCGCGTTCACGTGACTTGAAAAGTGTTCGATGCCCCACCAGAGCGCGGAAGGAAAGTTTTGTAGTTCGATGCCCCCAGAGCGCGAAAGGAAGTTTCTCAGCCCAACTTCTATACTTCTCTCACATTTTGGACAGAATTCTCTTAATCTCCTTATAGGTGGCTTCCACTGCACCATTAGCTTGAGGCCGATAATGAGAGGAATGGTGATGCTCAACCTTATATCTGTATAACAACTGGCCGACGTCTGCTTGGAAATGAGAACCATTGTCTGTGACTATGTGATGAGGGACACCATAGCGACAGAAAATGTTCTGCTCAATAAATCTAGCCACTTGTTTGGCAGTCAGAGTTTTGTAGGATTGAGCTTCGATCCACCTAGAAAAGTAGTCCACTGCAACCAAAATATACTGATGACCATTCGACGTTGCCGGCGTGATCTTGCCAATGATGTTTATACCCCAAGCTGAAAAAGGCCAAGAAGGAGTTGTTGGATGGAGTTCAATAGCAGGCAGTGGCTTTTGTTATCATGGTGCTGGCAGACTTTACAATGACGTACATAATTGACATAATCACCTTCCATCTGTACCCAAAAGTAGCCTTGCCTCATGATCTTTCTGGCCAAACTCATGCCACTCAAATGAGTACCACAGACTCCCTCATGGATGATCTTCTTCATTATCTCTTCTCCTTCCTGTCTAGCCTATACCATCTTTAGCAGCATTTCGTGCCCAGGCCCTTCTATATAGTTCACTCATCGCTAGGACATAATTCAAAAGCCATTTTTCTTAAAACTAGAATCGGATCCTTTCTTCTTGTGGCACTCATCAGAAAAGGTTTCATCTTTCCATGTACCGTAGAATATCGTAAACCAAGGTTACTTCCTCTGACTCAACCTGATTCACAAAATGTTCTTCATAGCATGGGGATATTTGCTGGGGCGGTAATGAATATAAATGGCTTCTTTGGGACTTTACTCAAATCTTGCCATGCTGACGCTAGGTTTGCCAAGGCATCTAGGATTCTGTTATGAGTTCTTCCTATGTGAGTAAAGGTGATCCTGTCAAAGAGTGCTGCTTTCTTCAACAAGTACTCAACATAGGGCTTCAACCTTTCTCCCTCCACTCTCCATCTCTCGTTAGCATGTTCGATAACTAATAGTGAATCTCCTATCACTTCAACTTCCTTAGCACCTGATGCAAGAAGAGAATCAATTCCCATGATACACGCTTCATATTCTGCCATATTATTGGTGACTGGAAACAACAACCTTTTGCACATTGTTGTCACCTCGCCATTGGGTGCTTCTATCACAATACCAGCTCCAGCTCCATTTCTATTAGTTGACCCATTAATGTATAGTTTCCAGCCCCCCTTTTCAACGCATAACAAATGTTCATCTGAAAATTCTAATTCCCATGATTCATCATCTGCAATGGGATTCTCAGCCAGAAATTCTGCAACAACCCGACCTTTGACCGTCTTCTTCGTAACAAACTCCGCATCTATACTAGACATTTGAATTAGCCATTTGGACAGCCGTCCTTCAGCCATGTTGGACAGCCGTCCTTCTAGAGTAAGGTGTCTTACTTGAGATACTTCATAGGATTCAATCTAAAGAAAACCAAAGTGACTCCGGAAGGAAGTCAAAGTAAGGCCTCAAATTTCTTGATCGACCACAAACCACTGCCATACATGTTTCTCTACCAAATTAACTTTTCCTCGATGGGCAGTATGTAACGCCCCATTTTTCTGTGTCTGAAATAGTAATTTACCAGTGTGTGAAATAGTGCCACCAAGTCCGAAGTCGATATTATGTTTGTCCGAAAAAAAATTACTATGTGTTTAATATGTCCTTTAATATATTTTTGGAGTATGTATACATTATTTTTATGGGTAGAAAGTAAGTAATGAATATTTTTGGAGAAGTATAATTAGTGAATAGTTAATTATAGTGTTATATTAATTAAGGAACTTGGAGGCAATCTTTTTATGGAGTAAATAGAGATGGTGTTATATTAAGTAAGGGAATAAGAGAACTTATTTTTAAGGATTAAATTTAAAAATTTTGTGGAGAGAAATAATATTTTGAAGGAAATAAATTGGAGAATATTTTTAGCCATTGGATTAGATTACCATTAACTTAATCTTAACCATCCAATTATGTTGAGAAAAGACTAAAATACCCTTGTGCTCAATGATTTGAGCAACCATTTTCTCTTCATCTTTTTTATCTTCAACGTGAATGATTTGAGCAACCATTTCTTTCTTTCTTCTCTTCCTTGGCCGAACCATATGCTCTCCTTCTCTTCCTTATTGTTTTCAATTTCGTTTTCAATTCTCACAAAAAATCATCTAAAACTAGACCATTATGAATCCAACCAAGAACTTCCTCTTGAAGATTCAAGGTTATTATGAATTGGAGCTTAAAGAATGGCAGAATTTTTAAGGGGTAATTAAAAGTGAGCTATCTAAGGTGGCTAAATGCAAGACTCAAGTTTGATCTTGGTGACTTCTTGGGTGCTCCAAATGCTTGATTTTGAGTAAAATGTTCAATAACACCCTTATTGTTAAAATTTTTAATTTTGTGAAAGTGATACTATTTTGTGAAAATTGGAATTTTAAATATGAAATGTTGATTATTGAATTTTGGTTGGTATAAATGTGTTCTTGGGAGTATTTCTAAGCATCCTATGAATGTTAAGTTGATTGAGGAAAACCATTTTCTTCTTCCATCTTCCAAGAAGTGGGCAAGAACCTATTGAGAATATGATGATTATTGGAGATGTTGGAAGGAAGTTTGGAGTTTAATTGGGAGTGATGTTAAACATGACATAATATTTAGCATACAGGATGATATCAGCATGACAGGACATAGGTTCAACCAAATTGTAGCGTCTCGGCTCAGTTCATTCGGGTTAATGGATGGATCGGGAAGGGATGTTACACAGTAGTTTTGATATAATAAATGGCCTTTTCTACTCCAGCAGCGTCTGGCTGTACCAACATAGCTCCAACTCCTGCATCCTCTATAGACAAGTACAGAATCAGAGGCTCTCCCGGTCTAGGCGAACTCAACACTAGTGGATTCATTAAGTATTCCTTGATATGGTCAAAGGCTTTCTGATAATCCTCGTTCCATCTGACCGGCTGGTTCTTCCTGAGCAACTTGAAGATCGGAGCACAAGTGATAGATAATCTAGAAATGAATCTGCTGATATACTGGATCTTCCCCAAGTAGCTTCTCACCTGACGTTTTGTTTTAGGCGGTTCCATATCTTGAATGGCTTTTATTTTATCTGGGTCAACCTCAATCCCGTTAGGTCCTACAACAAAACCTAACAACTTCCCCTTCCTAACAACTTTCCCTTCGTTACTCCAAATACGCACTTCTTGGGATTGAGTCTTAAATTGTACTGTTTGACCCGTGCGAAGAACTTTTCCAAAATCTTCGTATGTTCTTCTTGCGTTTTTGTCATGATCACCATATCATCGACATATACCTCCAAACCTTTATGGATCATATCATGGAACAAAGTTATAGCCATTCTCTGATATGTTGCCCCAGCATTCTTCAACCTGAACGGCATCACCCTATAACAGAAGGTCCCGAAAATCAGTAGTGAAGGCAGTTTTATGCTTGTCAACTAGAGCCATCAGGATTTGGTTGTACCCGGAGAATCCGTCCATAATGGAATAACATCCCATTCCAGCAGCACTGTCGATCAAAACATCTATATATGGAAGTGGGAGGAATGGGAAGTCGTCTTTAAGGCGAGGCTTTCGTAAGTCCTGTAGTTCGACAACAAGACCCTATTAGTCTCCCATCCCTTTTTAAAGCACATGGGAAGGGGGAACTATGTTTGCTAACCACTCAGGAATAATGTACTCTCTAGAAACCCGCCATCTGCTGCTTCTGGACCTCAGCCTTGATCTTGTCTTGCCACTCTGGTCTGACCCGTCTCCTTTTTTTGCCTTTACTGGCTTAATGTTCGGAATTCAGTGGGATGAAATGTTCGCAATTGACCTGTCGAATTCCTGGCATTATCGACATAGCTCCAAGCAAAGACCTCTGAATTCCTCCTTAATACATGTGCTTGGAAGATCCTGTCTGGAGTTCAGGCTTAAAGTCTGATCTGATTTCAATTATTTTGGGATCTTCGGTGGTGCTTAGGTTAAATGCAAAATGATGCAATGCATTTATGTCAATATGTGTGTGGTATAATCAATGCCATGAACGTGACAATCAAGGGAAAACAAGAAAATCAAAATTCACTTCCATTGATTGAAATAATAAAGGGAATCCATCCAAATCGTTCTCAAAACAATAATCAGAAAAACAAAAAACAGGATTAATAACTGTTCAATACATTCATCACAACTGTCTTTGATGGCTTGAATCACTTCATCAGCATCCAGAGCATCCTCTGTTTCTGGGGTAGCTTTCTCTTTCTTCTTCAGCATCTTCCTCTCAGCTTCTTCTGCATCTTCAGCTGTTAGCAATGACTGGAGGATCCTTGCCTTGGACTTCTGCTCTTGCACCATCCTTGAAGCTTCGTCCCCAATCCCGAGGAAGTCTTCAAACTCAGGTATCTTCTATGACCATTCTGTGCCATTGCCTGTTTGAACCATGCCAACCATGAACTGTGTGCCCTCTACCAACTGCTCAAAGGAAGGCTCTGGAGACTTAATGAGCTGCTCCTCAAAATCTGGAGACTTAATGAGCTGCTCCTCAAAATCTGTCATGAAGATCTCCAAACTAAGATATGTCTTTCCTCTGCTTTGAAATTCCCCAGAAGCCTCTGGGATAAAGAAAATCTTGTTCAGTCCCGGCTCTTTTATCGGAGAGTGGACTTCATATTTCTCTTTCTTTTTATTCTCTGAGTACCCCAATCCACATCAACCTTGCTGACCATGTGATGATGGCACAGGTTCAAATCTTCCTTGTAATTCTCGGCCCAGCCCTTTACCGTATTTCCATTGCATCTTCTTCATCATTTTACAAGAGAAAGGGCTCATCCTGTTGACTGCACTCTTGTCTTCAGTGATTATAGCATCATAAATCATAGCCACCTGAAAACCAGATAAAGGCACAGCAGCCTCTAAACCTTCCACAGCAGCCACATTCAGACCTTCTTGCGCATTAATAGTTACCACATCAGTGCCGTTACCACATCAGTGCCCCGCAGGGTACCTTGAACTTTTTTTTGTGCAATGTGGAAGGAATTGCAACTCAGAGGAATGAAGCCATGGCCTTCCCAACGCAGAGCATAATTAGCCAAGATGTCCATGACTATATTCCCCCATTTTCTATGGTTCCTGTCGAATCTTTGCCCCTGAAGGTTCCGCCTAGCGCTACGCATGGTGTTATCATAGGCCTTTAAACAACCATGTTAGATGGCTCGAGTTTCGACTCCTTCCAATCTTAAATTTGGGACAACATCTTCAGTGGGCATACACACAAATGCCGACCCATTATCACCATCACAATTGCTGGGTTTCTTGGTTCTGTTAAAACAGCAACTGAATGTAACAGAGGCTTAAAGTGATTCCTACCTTCCAGAGGGAGATCAGAATCACAGAAGGTTATCTCACCAAAATCCTGCGTTGCAAAGCACATTAATCATATCCACATTAATCATATCCACGCTCTGGATTCTCGCAGGAATTCTGACAAACGTCATGGCCTCTAACAAAGCTTCTCTATGTTCTTTTGAAGCTATCAGTAAATCCCATAGTGAGATGTCAGCCTTAGTCCTCTGTAGCTGACTCAGTACCGAACTTGCTGTTACGCCACTTGGTATTTTGTTTTGACTACTTTCGCCCACTTCAGTAGCCTTCTTTTGTGCTTTCCCCACTTCATCTTCCTTCTTCTTCTCCTTGGGCTGTTCTTTGCCCTTATCTGTTGCTTTCTTCCCTGTCCCATCGACGACAACTCCTTTTCCTTTAGACTGGGAATTGTTGTCCGGGTTATACACACGACCGCTTCGGGTCAAGCTCTGGATGCCAACTTCATTTACATCCTCATCACTACTATAGTACCATACATTGGTCTTCTTTGATCGCCAAACTTTTTTGATTGGGCAAGCTGAATCTGCTCATCTTCCAATTATTTCTGGTACTTCTCCCACCTGGACTGGTGATGCTCTTCTCAATTTCAACTTTCACCGGTGTCCTTTCTACCTCCTCCTCACTGCTGCAATCATCCCAGATGTTCAACATGGCACACATTTTCTCCTCCTATTCTGCTTCTGCCAATACTAGTTCTTCCGACAAACCACTTCCGATTGCATTAACTGATCCACCCGCTTAAGGCTTATGAGGTGGATAATTATATTGGTATTGCGGTAAGGGATTATTCTTTGTGCTTGGCTTATTGCGTTCAGAAGGTTTGGTAATCTTCCCACTGTCTATTAGATCCTGTATATCATGCCTAAGCTTACTGTCTATTAGATCCTGTATATCATGCCTAAGCTTGAAGCAGTCATCAGTAGAATGACCCTTACACTGGTGATACTCGCAGTCCCGATCCAGGAACCTACCCCGAATAGGCTTAGCTGGATTAACTGGTAATTTGGACAGCATGCCATTCTTGATGCAGGATCTCATGACTGTGCTTAAAGGTCTGCCCAAGTCGGTGAACTCCCTTCTCACTTTCTCATTGACAGCTTCAACTGTATTGCTACTCCCCGATTGGTTTGTAGCATTATTTCCAGCATTTCTACTTTGATCATTGTAGGAGGACCGGTAGTTACCAAACCCTCGGCTCTTCTTCTTTTCATCTTTGTATAGCTCTTCAATATTCAGCCTGGCCCTTTGCACTAGAGAAAAATTAGTGAGAGGTTGGGCCAGCACCCTTTCCTTGAAGTAAGGCAGCAAGCTTCGACTGAAAATCCTGATCAGTTCTTGGTCCTTTGGCCTTATTTGGACATGAACAACTTTGTCCTCTATCTCCTGTAATAGTCCAGAGAAGCTTTCATCCTTCTCTTGCCTCAAGCTCTCCAAATCACGCAGGCCAAATTCATCACTGTCATCTGTTTTGAAGTGCTTGAGGAAAGCAGTTTGTAGCTTCACCCAATCTCGCTGTGTTTTTGCATCCAGGCTATCATACCATCTCCTGTAGCTCTTATGCAATGTTTGAGGAAACGCCCGTAAGACATCTTCCTCGTCATACCGGTTCATCTGGGCAACCCGAATGAACTCAAACAGATGGGACCGTGGGTCATTGTCTCCTTCAAATAAGGTGTGCTTGAAGGTCTTGGCGGAAGTAGAGCTTGTGGGTTTCAGGACATATTCAGGAACCATATTCAGCCACATGGAAATTGGTGACTGGGTCCTTCTCTTTTGCAACAAAACAATTTTTCTAACCTTAATCTTTCAACTCCGCTAACATGCTTAATTAGGTATTCTCCACTGAAGCAGGCATTACCATGCAGAGGCCTTGATATTACCCGGGTGGGTTTCTGGAATCTCCCGTTTCCTCAACTATAGGCTGATTACTTTGAAGCAGGAGGAACTTGATTCTGTGCCCTTTCTTGGCAAAAGCAGCAGCTATGCTATTATCTCAGTAATAGCCCTTAGCTGAGCCGAGGAAAAACCAGTGTCATTCACATTACCGTCAGCCATCTCAACCAGATCTGAATCAGAAACTGAATTCGACAAACTTGAACGAACCACAGGACTAACCAAAGCAGGCTTGGGGATTGGGAACACTCTGACCAAACGTTGACCATGGCGTCGGTGTCAAGCTCTCGAAGTGATTTCCCGGGATGGATCAATCTTGGCTGACAGATAAAAGGACCTATGTCAAAGGAGGTTCTGCATGTATACTTGAAGAATAAAGGCACATAGAATGAAGAATGCAAGTCTAATGTGCTAATAACCGGTAGCTAATAACCGGTATGGAAATAAGATCTCGTTTTCGACGACTGGACCTAAAATTCGGTATGAATAACATAGCAATAATTTACTTCATACTCAAACATTTTTGGCATTATCTGTTGTCGACCGTTCCTTTTGGATTTTACGGTCGGCTAATTTCTCTCGAGTCCCTAATTTTTGCCCGGGAATGAAAGAATTTCCAAGCGGGATATTTCTTATTATATATATTTTTTTATTTTTGGCATCCTTGCTTTTTGCCTTGGAATAGATGGTCCCAAGCAGGATCTCATTTTGATTGGTTACAAAGCTTTTTGCAATCTCACGCTTACTTTCAGATAACGCGAGAAATGTGAAAACACAAAGGAATTGTAACCCCCTTATAACTCCCTTTTCTTTTGGGTATCAATTCACTATAAATGATTGCATTTATGTTATTCAAAACGAATTAGAGGCCCACTCCCAAAATCAAGGTCAAACGTCCATACCGAAAATTAGCTCTTAGCTTCTTATTAATGCATGGCTGACGAAAAGTATCACGTGAATGCTATGAACCCCCCTCGAAAATAGGCCATATAATGATATATCTTAGGGCAAGAAATGCACGTGAAATGTGTGAGTCGCCACCTTGTTTAATTTTTAGGGTAAACTAGGAAAAATCCTAAGCTGACTCCCAATTTTTAATTTTAAAACCCTAAGTCAGGCTAATTATCCTATATGTTTAAGGCACAATCTACGAACCCGGAGTGGAATTCCCGAGAACTTGTCATACTGATTTAACTAACCCAATGAATGAATGCTTTGCAAGGTAAAGATGTAATTCGACCAATGAAAATGTTAAGGTGATTTCGACTTGCCGCTCGGGGTTAAATCTCAAACGTGCCTACGTAACTTCGCGTTTTGAAATGGAGACAAGTCGACGTAGTTCAATAGGGCCTTTTTAAAAGGGCTTTGGAATGGGTATGCTTAATGGCCATGAGGTGTGTTTATGCTTTGTGCATTTTGTTTAGGGCATTTTGCCAAAGTTTGATTGATATGTTTTGTTTTAGGCATTTGTTGCCAAGTGTTGATTTAAGGCTTTTTAGCCAAAAAGATTGATTTAGGCAATTTGTTGCCAAGTTGATGTGATTTAAGCGATTGTCGCCAAATTGAAGTATTTGAAGGCTTTTAGCCAAAATGGAAGTTGAATTTAGGCAATTTTGTTTTGCCAAAAAAAAATTTGATTGGCCGATTGTTTGCCAAAATTGATTGATTTAAAGGCTTTTAGCCAAACAGATTGTTATTAATTCAAAGCAATTTTGCCAAATTGAATGTGTAATTTAGGCCAATTTGTTGCCCAAAAATGTGATTGATTTAAAGCTTAGGCAATTTGGTTTGCCAAAAAAACGTGATTGATTAAAGGCTTTTTTAGCCACAAATTATTGATTAATTGGACTTAAACCGACTGTTCGAAAATAAAGACAATTATACCCATAGTCATTAATTACCTAGATACTTTGCCATTGATATTGTCGGATTTAAGGCTTTAACTAACCATACCA